TCATGTGTTTATCCATCCTTGTGAGATTTCAAAAAGACTTGAAAGTCATCTGATTGGAGTTATATAAAAATTGAAGTTATATTTTTAAAATGTGATATCAAGGCTAGAAACTTGGAATCAATATGTAGTTCTTTAGTGTTTACCAAAGTGGTTATCTTACTATGCGTTTTTTCAAAATATGATTTCAGGGATGTCATGTCGAATATTTTGATCAGTATATATTGCACTTTTTGTTCCTAAAAGCCAATACAACGATGACAGCTGTACAACAGCTCACGGATCACACTCTACAAACAACAAAATCATAACGGCCTGCCCTCATCTTAGACATACACTTGTACTTCATCCACTAGGTTCAAGAACTCTTTATCTCCTATAAATAGGGATATACTGCACAGCTGAAATGAATGAAAATAGCTTTCCTTTTCCATTTCTTGTCTGTCTTGTGCTCTTTGACATGGTCAGAGCCTCATCTTGGCTTGCAGCCCCTCCCTGTTTCTTTCTAAATATTTTGCAAAACTCAATGGATTCATCTCCTTCCTCCCATATTGGCGAAGACGCTCAAGACAACATCACCATCCCCTCCTTAAAATTCTTGATCTCCAACATCAAGAATATTGTTCCAGTTACTCTCATCGGCGATAACTATCCCTAATGGAAATCTCATATTCTTAAGTTGTTTAGAGCAAACAACTTCGCCTCGTTCTTGGATCCATCAGTCGCTGCTACCCCTCCCCCCGGTCTCGACGAGCAACCCGACGGTGTCTCCACGCCAAACAGACGTTTCACCCACTGGACGCTCATAGATCAGAACCTACCAGCGGCGTTGTGCTCAACCCTTTCTCCATCCATTCTCCCGTATGTTCTTCATCTTGACTCTTGTGCCGACATATGGACAACTCTAGAACATCGCCTTCATGCAACAAACCGTTCAAGGGTAATTCAGCTCAAAAATGAGTTGCACAATATTTCAATGGGGCAATCTATCATGCTTCAATACCTCACCACCATCAAGAAGTTGGTTGACAGCATAGCTGAGACAGGCACAACTATACATCCCAAAGATACTTCTTTACACCTTAAATGGTCTACCGTCGTCATATCAGGCGTTTAAGATGTCGATTCGCACTACTCTATCTCGGATCAGTGTGGAAGACATATACTCACTTCTTTTGAGTGAGGAAATAAACATCTTAACAGAATCTACCAAGGAAGCTGCAACTCCAAATCCGAACATGGCACTCTATTTGTATCGCTGCAGAGGACGTGGCCGTGGACGTTCTTCTTACAACTCAAATCACGGCAGACATAATCGCCCCTCCTCTCCAAGACTATTGACTGATCCTTCAACTGCTACAATAATCTATCAAATTTGCGACAAAAGAGGGCATCCAACCAATTCGTGTTGGCATCGACTCAATCTACAGTACCCTACTCCTTCCAACCAGCTGACAGCTCTTGCAGCCCCCTCGACCCAATCCAATGCGGACTGGATTCTGGACACAGACGCTTCATCTCACCTTACCCACAGCATAGAGAACATCTTTCAGCCTTCAGATTATTAAGGTAACGACTCAGTCACTATTGGATATGGCTGTCATCTTCCCATAGCTCATTTCGGTCCCGGCCTTCTACCGACTCCTTCGCGTAAACTCTTTTTATGCAATCTTTTTCATCTACCGCAACTTTCCTATAATCTTCTTTCAGTGTCCAAAATTAGCTCAAGATAATAATCTTTGAATTCTTTTTTATGCATCCGGCTTTCAAATCAAGGATAGGACGAACAATTCAGTTCTTCTCTCCGGTTCGTGTCATGATGGGTTCTATTTCATCTCACCAAGATCTGAACGTCATCCTCAAAAGACCGCTCTCTCAACAAACATTCGAGCATCACTCCATTGGCCCATCGTCTGGAACACCCACATCAACATACTATGGCAACTATCTCAAAGTCGAATAAATCTTTAGCTATCCCTACTTCACTTTCTTTTTGTTTATCATGTAAGACCTCAAAACACCTCAAAATCATAGCTACAAGCCGTTTGATCTTGTTCACACAAATGTATGGGCTCCAGCCCCTTTTTCATCAATGCAAGGTTACAAATACTATATATCCTTTATTGATGACTCGTCTCGTTTTACGTGGGTTTATCCCTTAATGCATAATCTGAAGTGTTCTCCACATTCATCAAGTTTCATACCACCATTGAAAAACAATTCTCATTTAAAATAAAATGTCTACGTAGTGATGGTGGTAAAGAATATGTCAACTCAAACCTACGAAACTATCTACAAACAAACATCATACAACATCAAATCAGCTGCCCCTATACTCCCGAATAAAACGGCCTTACTGAGAGGAAATATCATCATATTCTTGATACTACAAGAACTCTACTCCATACTGCTCATCTTCCTTATCCCCTATGGCTTGATACTCTCCTTACAGTCGTTTACCTTATCAATCTAATGTTGTCTCCTACTATCTCCAATATCTCACCATATCAAATCTTATGCAACAAATCTCTGCATTATGATCACCTAAGAATTTTTGGGTGTGCGTGCTATCCCTTTCTTCCTTCCCAAACTAGACAAAAACTCTCGCCGAAATCCATACAATGTGTTTTCATTGGATATGCTCAATCACACAAAGGTTATCAATGCCTTGATCCCACTACAAACAAAGTCTACATTTCTAGACATGTTTCTTTTGATGAAAATTGTTTCCCGTTCTCCCACAAACCCATCACCACAACTACACTAGCCGTGGGCAACACCATAAACCCCAATCTCCTTTTTACCAACGTCCACAACAAATACCAACACTGTGACCCCTACCTCACAGCCTTCAACCCCACAAACCTCTTCGCAATCTCCTGAAACATCCTCAACTTCTCCACAACCTACTGCCAACGCATCCCCACCACATCTTCAACCTCCTCAACCACATACAAACTCCACTCATCCCATGGTAACCAGACTACAAACCGGCAACCTCAAACCTCGTCAAATACTAAACCTCCATTCCTCACTCACAACTGATCCTACCACCTATGTCAAAGCCTCAAAATATTCCCATTGGCACGATGCTATGGCCTTTGAATTTCTTGCGCTTCAACAACAAGGCACATGGCTTCTTGTCCCTCGACCCACTAACCAACATATACTTTGCTATCGTTGGACATTCAAAACAAAAAGAAATACCGATGGTTCCATAGCTCGTCACAAAGCTAAGCTGGTGGCACAAGAAAACCATCAAGAATATGGTCTCAATTACACTGAGACAATTTGTCTAGTAGCAAAATTCCCTTCAATCAGAGTTCTGCTCATTGCCGTCACTCATAACTGGCCCATGCATCAACTGGATGTAGCGAACGCATTTCGTCATGGCTCTTTTCCGGATATCATATACATGAAACAACCCTGCGGGTTTGAGGATCACACTTTTACCCATCATGTTTGCCTTCTTCAAAAATCCCTCTATGGCCTAAAACAGGCTCCAAGACAATGGTTTCATACTTTTTCTACTCATCTTCTTTCTTTGGGTTTTCTTAAAAGCAGGGCTGATCCAACCCTCTTTACCTTCAAACAAAACTCCTCGAGCACTTCTTATATATGTGGATGATATATTACTTACCGGACATAATTCCTCACTCCTTCACAAAATCATCTCCTCTCTAAGCCATTATTCTCTATCAAACACCTGGGACAGCCCAACACATTTCTTGGCATTCAAATTCTTTCACACAACAATCAACTTCATCTATCTCAAACCTCTTATGCCACATCCCTTCTTCAACAAACAGGCATGGATACATGCAACCCTCTAGCCAATCCATCTATTACTAAATTTCTTCTAGATCATCCAATAGACCTCTCCTTCTCCAATCCAACAACATATCGCCACATTACGGGTTCGCTACAATATCTAACTATTACTCTCCCGGACATATCCTTCACTGTCAACACACTATGCCAACATATGCATGCTCCCTCCTCTCATTATCATCTTCTAAAACGACTTCTTCGTTACGTAAAATGTACTCTTCACTTTGTTCTTCCCATCTCTTCCTCCTCACTCCAACTCACGGCTAACTCTGATGCGGACTGGGCGGCTGACCTTGATACAAGACGTTCCACCTCAGGCTATTTCTATTTTCTAGGTGACAATATCATTTCTTGGACTGTAAAGAAACAACAAACCGTGGCACGTCCCTCTACAGAAGCGGAATACCGCTCTTTGGCTGCGGTTACAACTTATGTCGTTTGGCTTCGTCGACTTCTTGCAGACTCCAATCAACCTCAAGATCATCCCACGATTTTACTTTGTGATAACATGTCTGTCATTGCACTAGCAAACAATTCGGTGTTCCATGCCAGAACCAAACATATTGATGTGGATTCCATTTCATAAGAGATCACATCGAAACAAAGGAGAATTTTGTTACACCAATCTGCACGATTGATCAAATTGCAGATATCCTAACAAATCCACTCTCCACTCCAAGATATCATCTACTTCAAACCAAACGAACTATTCAACCTTCACCGTTAGTTTGCGGGGACGTAAAAGCCAATACAACAATGACAGCTGTACAATAGATCACGGATCACACTCTACAAACAACAAACTCATAACGGCCTGCCCTCATCTTAGCCATACACTTGTACTCCATCCACTAGGTTCAAGAACTCTTATCTCCTATAAATAGGGATATACTGTACAGCTGAAATGAATGAATATAGCTTTCCTTTTCCATTTCTTGTCTGTCTTGTGCTCTCTGACAGTTCCTACTATGATATTTCTAAATTTAAACATGAAAATCCTTGAGTTGTTAAAATTATACATCTTTCTATGTTTATTTGATCATTTTACTAGTATAATGTAAGTGCATCTAATTCGGAATTGTTTTTTGCAATTGTTGAATAATTCCTACTTTGTTTTCTTCTCTTTATCATAGGCTTGGATTCTGTGATATCTTACTGTTATATTTTAACAGGTACAAAAGCATCATAATACGGTTAGTTGGACTTGCTGTTTTTGCATTTGCAACTGCATTCATATTGCTCATGATGGAAACATTGAGTGCGTTCCTTCATGCTCTTCGTCTTCATTGGGTAGAATTTATGAACAAGTTCTACCATGGTGATGGCTATAAATTTAAACCATTCTCATTCACCTCCCTAGCCAATGAGGAAGAATGATCAATGACACCTCAGTTGCAGGCTTTGATTTTTACAAACGGATCCTACAGGAAAAGAGAGAATTAGGGAAAAAAGGTAAATAAGCAGCAGAAGGATTTCCTGCATTGCAAAATTTGCATGCACCAGGCTCCAATGCATCATTTATACTCGGAAATACGCTGGCTTTGAGGTTTTGCTGTTGGCATGAAGCAAAGCAGCCGGAAGAGAGATTATTTGTACATTTATAGATCGGTAAGCCACCATTTTGAAAGAGCACTAATTTCAAGTACGGGTAACCTTTGTATCTTCTCGGAAAAGTTTTATCTCAACTCCAGTAGTAATATTGACTTCTCCAATTTCGCTCTCCTTTCTTTTCCAATCTCCTCTCTTTATGCTTCGCCTTTTCTATGAAGTGGGGTAGTTTTTTTTTTTTTTAGTCTAATATTGCTGTTTGATAGTTTTTTTATCCTTTTTGTTTGTCTGTGTACTGTTACGACTCCCATGTCAGAAGAATTTTTTTTGTGATAAAAATCTTTGATTGATTTTAAACATTTTGATTGATGACCCCACTACGTTGCCGTAGGCTTGTGTGCTGGGCCAGCGAATGTTATAGAAAATAAAATGCATATATGTATGCATGATAGCGTAAATGTGTTTGTGTATCTCGTACGCAATAGCATATCATCCTAGAACTAGTATGTGTTTCTAAAAAGTTTGGAACATATACACTGAGGAAAGCCTAAGAAAATTCTACCCACTAATACAATCTACCACCCATATGATGCAATGCATGTATGCAATGTAACAAAAAAAGAGTTGCATATAAATGGAAATTTTATTTATTTATTGATTTTGAAATTTACATGACTCTGAATCTATAAGAAATAAAGGTGGTCATGCTCCACTATAACAAATATGGGTTCTAAGCCTATCAAATATGTAGAATTATATACATCTACTTAATGTCTTCGAGTTCCAAAGTCATTTTTGGAATTTTAAAACAGATAATCACCCAAAGGTAAGGATATTATTTTTAGAGCCCCACTTGCATATATAAACATGTATTTTTTATTCTTTTTCAACTCTAGATCATTTACAACTTGACCTATATATAATTCTACTTTTAAAAACACTTGTACATAGACATCACCTCCTAAGTACATTCTACTTATTATTGTAGAAAAATAAAGACATGAAAATAAAAGCATTAGTATATAGTAATAAAGTGTAACAGTTGCATAATAACCAAATGCTTAAAGAGCCTTGGTGCACCAACAAAAAATAAATTATATGACATTTTCAGAGTGCAGAAAGTAAGTAAACAAATAAAGGGTGCTTTCCAAGCAAAGCACCCGACAATCAATTCACACCACCGACCAAACTTAGGTTAGAGTTGGTTGTTCAGCAAATCATTTAAGTGTGTGAAGGAGGATGTGTGGCTTTGATATATCCTATAGGAGTTTGGGTTTTAGATTGCATGTATTTTTAATGTTTGTTTATTAAAGGTCAAATGGGGAATTTAATCAAAGTTTACCTTGTGTATCTTTGGATTTTATTATTTAGATTTTAAGAGTTGGAATTGATTATTTAATTATGAAGAACTTATAAATTAATTTCCCTAAAGTGCATGGGTTATTAATTTATAAGTCCTAGAAGGCTTTACAAATGAATTGCAATCATCCCCGATATAGGATTGATGATCACATAAAACTGTAGAGGATTTTAATTTACAATTTATTACGAATAGAAAGAGGGACCTTTCAATCCAATATATATGATGTCCAAGTGGAGTCAAGCATGATGTATAAGGTTGATAATTTATTAGTATTTGATTAAGGGTTGGAAAAAAATTTATACACCCATGCATGCCTTTCGTGAGTGGAGGCTGGCATGGTGCATAGCTTAATTTGTTATTAAATATTTAAAAAATCCCTTCATAAAATATATAGATGCCCTCCCAAAAAGAGACAAGTACCATCTAAAGTAGTTGGGTGGTTTAGATATGTTAAAGGCTTTAAAATTTAATGTTAAGACACCCACAAGATGGAATTAAGCATCAAACAAGAAAGCCTTAATATTTAATTAAGATTAATTATCAAATTTGTTTGATTAAAACTAAATTTTAATCAAATATATTATCAAATTAATTTTTTTTTTATTTTAATTTTTATTGAATTAATTGATTGAAGTTAATTTTCTATTTTTATGAATTTTATTTGATTTATTATTAATTTTTAAAGGTTTCATCCCTTTATTAAAGGGTTAATTATGATTATATTTTTTAAGATCAATTAATGTCAAAATGAGGTGTATTACTACTTAAGAAGTAATGACTTTAAGCTTTCTATGTTTAATGTCCTCATCCCTATAGGATGGATGTGTGAATTCCTATGAATTACCTAAGTTAGCTAGACAAAGTTCTAATTGTTAGGTGACACTAGTGTTGTATAGGTTTACAAATCTATATCACTAACTCTTAGTAACATATATGTATACAAAAAAATCAGAAAAATCATGATGTCCTAAAACTAAAAGAATATGAAATAAGAAATTTCTAAATATTAGAATCAAATCACATCCTAAACATTTGGAAATTCAAACAACCGAACATTTTGCATCAGATTTGGTTAATCCCATTCATCCATGACCAAGCTCTATTAAATGTTTCCATAGAGATTTTAAATGTATGTAATGAAGCTAAATCCATTTTATAATTTTTTTTTAAAATATATGTTAAATCTTGGATATAAAAAAAAATCATTTATAGCTAAAAGACGTTTCAAATTAAGTTGGAAAAATCGGAATAGGTACTAAATGCATTCACAATTATCCCCTCTAAATTGCATATTAAATGAATGTATATTTAATGGGTAATTAACAAAAAATGCTGTTTATATATCCATCAAATCAGTTCAAATTTTATTTAAAATAAGAGGGTGTTTTTTTGAATCCATTGAAACTAAAATCATTAAATTGCATTTAAAAATGAATTTATTATGATTTTCTGAAGTTTAATGTGTTAAAATTAATTCTTAAAAGTTTTTTATTAATTAAATGGCTGATGGAGTATTAATTGCTAATGATTGTGACACCGTCAATCATTAAAAATTAAGTACCATGGCGGTGGCTACTACTTTACTCGCGTCACGTGACGGTTGGTAGATCAAAAATGTGATAGCGGCATTTAATGCTAATCATCAAACAACAATGGCGGCATGACTTTTAACGAGGCGAGTTTAACTTAAATGAGTTAGCACCCTGCACTACCGTTTGATCTCCTGTGGTTTGAAACCAATGGCTGTGATGCCTTTAAATGAGGATTCAAACAACTAGGAAAGCCATGCAGTTTAGATGACCCATAAAATGATAAGATTTGGGATATTTATTAGAAGATCAATGGCTCAGATTTTGTATAGTTTATATTAACGTTCCTTTGAACCCTAAGATAAAGAATGGTTCAAACTCGAGATTGTCTTAACCAAATCCTTTAAAATTTTAAATAAAACTTGAATGCAACTACATGAACAATGGGGTTTATAAAGATATTTTAATATTTAATTTATAATAAAATTGCATATACACACTCAAGCACTCCGTGCTCTCTTCACATATAACTCAACACATACATCTACTATTTCCATTTAATTTATACCTCACTCTCAACTCTTCTCTACATCTTATAATCTACTAAACCTCATCTCTTTCTTCAACTATTCATACACAATACACCACACACACTAATACACACCAAAATTATCTAAAAATATATAATAAGTAAAAAAAGCCACTCTCAATCACTTATTCTAATAGCTCTCCTACCTCTCTCTCCAAGTAACTTTTCTCATTAGGTCATCAATCATCAGTCTCTCTCTCTTATTTCTCACCTCTTCTCTCTCTCTATCACACCCACACACACACACACACCCACTACACACACACTACACACACTTGTTTAACCATTAAGTATCTCAATAAAAATTGCAGTATCCTCCAATGCTTTATAGCCTACTGGTTCTCTCTTACAGTTCTCATTTTTATCTCACTATAACATCACTCATATCTCTCTCTTCTATTCACCCTCTTCTCTCTCTCTCTTCTCTCTCTCTCACCATTTGTGTCAAATAAATAATACATACTCTCGACTTTCTAACTCTTCTCTCTATCACTCTTTATCTCAAAATGTCTCACCTCACTCTCCCCTCTATTCAACATCTCTGCCTCTCTCTCTCACTCACTCTTTCCTCCACTTATCTCACCTCATTCTCCCCCTTCTATTGCACTTTCTTCTCTCTATCTTCTCTCTTCCCGTCGTCTGCGTGCTCTTCTCTCTCTTTCTCTTTGTTCTTCTCACGCACACACTCACACACAACACACTACACACAACACCATAGTATCCAATACGAAAAAACATATCTCGACTCTCTAAAGCTTCTCCACTCTCTCTTTCTCTCGTTCTCTCTCTCTCTCTCTCCTCTCTCTCTCTCACACACACACACACCACACACACACACACCACAAACAATACATACCACACCACCCCACCATAATTTATATTTAGCATTTCCAAATAAAAAAAAAAAATGACATAGCTCATTTTCTAGCTTCCTCTCTCTCTCTCTCCTCTTTCCTCATCATTCTCACCTCATTTCTCTCCGTCTCCTTCGTTGTGTCTCTCTCTCTCTACTCCTCACTCAGACTAATCAATTTAAAAAAATCATATCTCACTTTCTAGCTCTCCTTCTCATCGCTTCGTGCTCTCTGTTTCTACTTCACTATCTCACTTCATGTTCTCTCCAATATCACCTCTCTCTCTCTCTCAATACAACACACACACATAACACACCTACTCAACTCACACCATAGTTTATTATTTAAAACTAATACATATCCTCATTTTCTAGCTCCTCATCTCTCGTTCTCTCTCTTCTCACTCTTTCTCTCACTATCTCTCTATCTCATCTCCCTCCCTCTTATCTCCACCTCTCTCTTCTCTTCTCCCTAACCACCCTCTGCTCTCCTCTCTCTCTCTCACACTCATAGTACCAAAAATAGAAAAATCACATCTTTCTTTCGAGCTCCTCTTCTCTCATAGTATCAAATTAAAAAATGCAAAATCCACTTTCTTAGCTCTCGTCGCCTCTCCACTATTTCTCTCGACTATCTCACCTCATTTCTCTTCTCCTTTATTTCACCTCTCTTTCCTTCTATCTCTCTCTTTGTCTCTCTGCTCTCTTGCTCTCTCTTCTCTCTCATCAGTTTTCAATAAGAAAATACATCAAACATAATTGGACATGTAATTGAATACTCCTTTGAGTTGTATAACTTATTACACATTGTATTTTATTCTAGTACAAAATAAGAAAAG